CCTGGATTTCACAACCTGGTAAGGTCTGATGGCCTTGTGCTCCTTGTTGCTCTCACCCAGAATCTACTGTACACCTCTTTGTCCATTCTGAACAATGAAGGCCTGCCCACAAAATCTCCATGCAATCATACTTCGTGTGTCCAATTCTCTAGGCTCTGCATAGAGAGTTGAGATCTAACTGAAGACTTCAGACGGAATTTTAAAAACCAAGATTTGGCTGTCACAGCACCTTTTCAGACCATGTCAGATACATCAGCACACTTCCCATTCCCAATCCATCTGCCATTTGCTAGTGTGTGGTGATTTAGTGGAAACATCAGATGAAGACAAAGATTTAGAAGAAAATCAGGTACAACATCATGATGAGGAGAGCTGACATGCTAGGTATTTTCTGGAGGCTAGAGATCTTCTTCTTCCTCTTTGGATCTATTTATCATTTTTATTGGAAAATCACATTTACAGAAAGAAGGAGAGACAGAGAGAAAGATCTTCCATTCAATGGTTCACTCGCTAAGTGGCCACAATGGCCACAGCTGAGCTAATCCAAAACCAGAAGCCAGGAGCTTCTTCCAGGTCTCCCACGCAGGTGCAGGGTCCCAAGGCTTTGGACCATCCTCGACTGCTTTCCCAGGTCACAGGCAGGGAGCTGAATGGGAAGAGGGTTGCTGGGATATGAACCCCTGCCCAAATGGAATCCTGGAGCTTGCAAGGCAAAAATTTTAGCCACTAGGCTTTTGTGCCCTAACACCTTTGCGAGCATTAAATTATCCAATCCTTTACTTTTGTTTTTTTAAGGGAAAAAAATTGGTGAAGATCAGAATCAAGCATAAACAGATATTTCCCCTGTCCTTGAGATGTCTAAAAACACACGAATAGAGGAAGAGTGTAGTTAAATACCAATGTAACAAAATGAAGCTTACCTAGGAGGTTTTATATTTTCATGAATAAAACTGCTCCAAGTGCCAAAAAGAGAGGGAGGGGAAAAGAATCAAATATAATCAGGTGAACTCATCACAACTCCAAGCATGAAAAAAGGAAAAACAAATGGAGTCTTTAGTTACCTGTTGATGTGCATCTCTCCAAAAGATAGGAATTCTTGTTCTATCTGACAGTCCCTCCATAAGCAGCTCAGCTGTGGCCTCCCTTCCTAGGTCTTTGCTGGCTGTCAGCTGGCCTTGACACCAGGTGCCAGCCTGATCTAGGATGGCAATGATCCTAGTGGCAGTTGGTGCTCAGGAAGACCAAACATACAGTGCCATTACTGTTCATTTCAGAGGTGACAGATCCATATCTCTTAGAGGTAGAAACAGCAGGAACGGGACATCTTCCATCTAATGGCTCATGGCTCAAATGCCTGCAATGACCAGGGTTGGGTCAGGGCACAAGGCAGGAGCCAGGAACTCTATCCAGGCCTCCCATGCTGGAGGCTGGAGACCTAAGTACTTGAGCCATCACCTGCTGCCTCCCAGGGGGTACGTTGGCAGGAAGCTGGCACCAAGAGCCAGAGGTGAGAACAGCACTCGGGCACTTCCACATGACTAAGGAGCTAGGCCAGGTGCTTGCCTTCTGTCCTATTCTAAGAAGTTAATTAATAAATCTAGGTCACATTGGAAGGTGTTACAGCAACAGGAGAGGCAGATGCTGCGGGGACTTTGGGAAATGGACAAGCAGCACAGGTGAACTGCAGAGGCAAATCATCAGGGGTGCTTTCTCCCCCATCGTCCAGAGAAGGACATTGTTTTTATTTTGTTTCTCTCTGCTAAGGAAATAAAATCATGCTTAACATCACTTATTAAAATGGGGAGAGCGTGAACACTGTAGAGAGCTAGCAAGCCTGGGAGGTTGCCATGGCAACTACGGGTCAGTCGACAGTCTTGCAGGTGGATGGAACAGCTTGGGATGTCCGCTTCCCGCGCCCTGAGCCCAGAGCACAAGCTGGACACATGGCGCATGACAGTCACTTTCTGACTGTCTTTTGCAGAAAAGGTAAACATTTTTGGGTTCTTCACTTGACTGTCACTCCCCCGTCACATAATTAAGCCCGGGGGAGTAAGAAAGATGGGCTGACTAACCACTCCGTCCTTGTTAGACTAGCAGTTTTGAGTCCTGCTTCCCCCGTCTTCATGCCATGCAGACTGTAAGTGCCTGGAGCGATGTTTTCATTTTTCCCATAATAAGGGTGTGTGGACATATTAAAAACAGATTTCAGAGTGAGTCTTGGACATAGTGCTTGGGTTGCTACTTGGTATACCCACATCTCCTATTGAAGTGTCTGGTCCCATTGTACCCCGAGAGGCAGCCATATGACTACCACCCACATGGAGATCTAAGATGAATTGTATGCTACTGGCATCCTCTTGGCCCTACCCTGGCTGTTTTCAATGTGCAAGGAGTGAACCAGCAGATGGAAAATCTCTGTGTCTTTCTGTTTTTCTTTCTCTTTGTGTCTTTTTTGGCTTAAATCTCCCCACCTCCCCCCCAAAAAAAACCTCAGGTGTGCTCACAGCAGGGTGGTCAAGAGGACACAGCACTCCCACCACAGTCCAGGCAGAAGTGTGGACACTTTCAGCAGAAGGACACATCGCCTTCTCGTTGTCCTTCCCAGGGAAACAAGTCAGTGTATTTGTCTTTCTAGTACACTCTGCTGCCAGCAGTCAGCACCTGCAAGCATGAGTGCTGATCCTAAGCCAGTGCTTGCTCCCACGTGGGTTATTAGAGTCTGCTTTGCTGCACACACGGGTGATTTTCACCTTCTGACTGTGGGTGCAGAAGTGTGAGATCCCAGGACTCCCTCACCCCTGACTGGGACATCTTGCTATAGGGATTGCAATGTCCTCACAGCGCTTCAATGAGATTAAGCCAGCGTTGCCTTACTTACGACTTTGCCTGCTTGCTAAGCCTTGCTTGGCTTCCGTTCCATTCCTGTTTTCCCCACCCACCAACCAGTTCTTCAAGATCACATCTGTCATTTTCACATGAAATCTTGTCTCTGAATCTGCTCTGGGGAGCCCGATCCACAGGGGAACAGTTAAGGTTTGGCAGTCCTGCCTCAGTCGAGGATAAACTAGGAACATTAGGGTTCAGGGACATAAGCCATCTGGATCACATCATCTCCTCCTCCTCCACGCTCTGCATTCATCATGCGCCTTCCCATGTTGCTCTTACACCAGGAAAGAAGGTAGGAAACACCACATGTTGACCTTGGCAGTTATAGTTCTCACTGTCCAGCAGGATCAACTCCTTAAATGACTTTAATGCTGTCTTATCTCCACATCAGATGACTCCTGGGAGGAAAAAAAAATGACAAGTCATTTTGTAAAACCTACAAGGTTGAGTGGTTCAGGTGCCACTTTGAGATGCCTTGTTGGGGATGCCTCCTGGCTCGGCTTCCTCTGGGTGTCTTCTCCATCCCTTCAGTCTCTGGAGGCTTCAAAGCGCTGATCTCCTGAATAGGGTAGAACTGAGGACGCGAACTGTAAACATCTCCCTCACCTCTTTGAGACATTTCTCTGGCTTGCACTTCTGTCCCTGCTTGGCAGTTTTAGCCCTCCTCCTTCCTTCCTGTTGGGACGCTGCAACAGAGCTCTCATCCAATGCTCCTAGCTGATGTTGGCTCCCTGCAGGCTCTGGAATGATGAGCCCATACGTTTCTGTTCAGTACAAATCACCCAGTGTCAAGATTTCTGTTACAGCTACACAAAGGGTACTTTAGGAGGGCAGCCACGTTCTTGTGCTAGTGCCTTGGAAAGTGGGTCTAGATGTGTTGTCAGTTCTCTTGGCTTATTGTACAGTAGTTCAGAAAGCCCTTCACTTGACGATCTTTGGGCTTTGTCATTTGCAGAAGATGTAAAATGCTGTTCAAGGGTGTAGAGCAAACATGCAAACGCAGAATTTTGATCACTCTGTCTTTGTATTTTTTGCTTCTGTGTATTCACATTTTTTTTACAAGAAGATTCATTTTTTTTCTCAATAAAGAGAATATGCATTTTGATTAATGAGTTTACTCTAAGATATCCAGAATGATGGATTATAGTGATTAATAAGTGTAAGTTGTCAGACTCTGTGAATACAAAATAATTGCATTGACATCTTTTTTTTCCGAACAAACTTTTGTTTTTGTATTCAAGAGGCAGAAAGACAGGCAGATGGTCAGAGCGCCCATCTGCTGGTTCCCTCCCAAATGCGTACCTAGCTGGGAGCTGGGCATTCAGTCCATGTCTTCCAGGTGGGAGGAAGGAACCACCACCTGGCTGCATGCCAGGGCCTATAAGAGTGACTGGAATTGAAGCCCAGCACTGCAATAGGGGATATGCTAAGTTGTCTGATATGCCAAATACTTTCTCCTCAAATAAGCTTTTTTTTTTTTTTTTTTTTTACAAGGATCTTATGTTCCTGGAAGGTAATGCAATGTGCATTTAATTTTTTTTTGACAGAAATTTCAAATTCATGCGCAGCATTTAATTCTCTCATTTTCCTCTTAAACAGGCTGAGCATCGTTAATCCCCCAAATGTTTAATACTTCTCTGCAATTATGTTTGTCTTTACAAATTGCTCTACTTAAACTTTTTCATAGAGATTGATTAACATTGCCCATATGAATGGAGTCCTGTAGCATGTTTCAGTATATGTAAACATATATCCTATCCCACAAACCCAAGACCTGTTTCTATTTGCAGTGACCCTTTAGGAATGGACACTGAATGCATGGGTTTGAAATGATGCTACACGGTTGGAGATAAAGTTAGCAGGGTAGGAACAGCAGAGAGGAATGCTGAAAATACCTTCATCCCAGGATGAGACTCTTCCTCTCAGGGGGCCCTAAGCAAGGCTCACCAGGGTAAGCCTGGTTCTTACCCTATTCAGAGAAAAAAAAAAGTCTTTAAACACTTACTGTTTCTTTTTTTTTTTCTTTAAATGGAGGTTCTTTATTTGGTGTACAAAGAGCTGCCATGATTTTCCAAAGCGTCCATGCCTTGCAGCATCCATCCAAGGAACATGCCTCAATCCAGCGTGACGAAGCCGATATCCTTGGCGTACTGGGGGAGACACTGGCAGCCCATGTTCAGGCTGTATTTCCGGATCAGACCATGCCGGTTGGAGCACACAGCGGGAACCTTGGCCGAATCTTCATGAGTGACTCCAGTCGAGCTGTTGACGACCACGTTGTCCCCACTAGAGCGAAGAAGCGAAAGGCTATCGTTTCTTTACACTGAAAACAGCCCAAATAGAACTTTTAGTTGCTTTAGAGCAAAGTATACATGGAACTTACCTATCACCACATTACTGTGGAGTGGAACTCCACTGTCCCTTACTTCTAAATGGAAACATCATTCACTTGCTCCGTTCTCCCCCGCACTTCTGAGAACCACCACTGCATCATTGTTCATTACAAAATTTCAGGACTCTGCAAATGATTTAGTTTCACTTGCTACTTTTCTTTCTGTTTTTGGTTTATTTTGCCTAACATATAATCTCCAGCTCCATCCATGTTGTTGCAAATAACATCATTTCCTTCTTTGTGATGGTTGAGCAGCACTTGTGGTGTCTGTGTGATATCTTTTCTTTGTTTTATCGGTGGATGTGCACTTCGGTTCTTCCCAACTCGTGGCTGTCGTGAATACGTTGTAAACACAAGAGTGCAGATGAGTCTTTGAAAGGCAGGTTCACTTTTCCTTGGATGTATATGCCCACCAGTAAGATTCCTAGATCTTGTAGCAAGGACAGGTTTAGTTTTGAACCAGGATTCTCCAGAATATTTTCCATAATGGTTTTACTAACATACATTCTGACCAAGGATTTTTTTTCCCCCTCCACACTTTTTTTTTAAAAAGGCTTTTATTTATTTTTATTGGAAAGTCAGACATACGAGAGAAGAGACGGAGAGGAAGATCTTCCGGCCACTGATTTACTGCCCAAGTGGCTGCAATGACCAGAGCTGAGCCAATCCGAAGCCAAGAGTCCAGAGCTGCTTTTGGGTTTCCCACGTGGGTACAGCATCTCAAGGCTTTGGGCCGTCCTTGACTGTTTCCCCAGGCCACAAGCAAGGAGCTGGATGGGAAGCAAGGTCGCCAGGACATGAACCAACACCAAAATGGGATTCCGCCAATGTGTACAAGGCGAGGACTTTAGCCACTAGGCTACAGCACTGGGCCCACCCCTCCACATTCTTGATAGTACTTGTTATCTTTCCCCTTTTCGATCATTGCCAATCAAATTAGAGTTGTCACTTTCTCTGGTGGTTCATGGCGCTCAGGAACTTGCTACACATTGTATGTCCGCCTTTGAGATGTGTGAGATTTGGAATGTTCTAAAATCAAATCCAGATTTGGGGAGGGCTAACATGCTGCTCTAGTCAAACCCAGCTTTTGGCGTTATCTCTGATTTCAGACTTGCAGATTGTGGGTGCAACCGGTGAAGTCTACACATACGCAAACTTAAAACACCCTGAAACCTGAGATAGTTCTGGTCTCGGGCACCCTGGAGAAGATGCTCACTCGGCCCACGTGTATCACGAATTGAAGCTCAAGTGAAGCCGCGTTGGTGACTCAGGAGACGGGACACGAACCGACGCTCGTGGATCCCCTTAGTTCTCACGGAAGGAAAGCGTCATCCATAGCTGCTCTAACAGGAGAGGCTCTAACCATTTTAATAGAAGTGACTCACCTTGTTAATCTAAGGCACTAGCTGATTTCTTCTTGCAGTTCTGGCTGGAGCCACTGAGAGGTGCTATTGTCCCACGTTCCTCCATTGAAGGCCGTAACTGAAAGTTGGAGGGTGAGGGAAATCGATGGCGATGAGATCATTCCGTTTGCCCAGTGTCTTTCCATCTGTGGGGAGGGAGCCAGGAACGGTTTTCAATTAAAACGCCAGACCCTGACAAATCGCCATTCACGGCTTGCGTCTTTCAGAGTTCGGATGGGGGCCAGGACTGCAAGAGAAAGGCTCTTTATTCTGTGCTGTGGCGGGAGAAGCCAGAAATAGACCTGGGTATGTGCGTGTGTTTGGGGAGGGGCACACCAGAGCATGGGAATTCAGCAGACCCCCAGAGCTACCGTTTCTTTATACTATCCCTGTGCACTGGGCTCTCCCTGGCATGTCCCTGCAGGCAGTGGGCACTCTGCGTCCCAGTGGAGGCCCTGCTACTCCTCCTAGAAGATGATCCTGGAGCACTCCTGGGTGAGGGTTTGACCTCATCAGTTATTTTTATCATGTCGATTGCAAAAGCATAACAGCATTCATTTTGTGCCAAAGAGTAGCCCTGAACTGACCACGAAGAGCCAGGACCTTAAGTATAGAACTTGATCTCTCACTGCCTCTCCAAGCATCCATCTGAAGCTGTTGCAAATGGGAGACACACATACCTTGTGCGCAGCCTGGAAAGTAATGGAGTATGTTCTACCTTTTTTTTTTTTTTTTTTTTTTTTGTCTCTTCACTCCAGATGGCCTTGGCCTTGGAAAGTGGCTTTCCTGTGTCAGGAGGATGGCTCTGATTAGGATCAGGAGCCAGGAAAAGTGCCTTAGTCCCCTTGCCAAAGCAAGCGTTCCAAATTCCACTATGCTTTTTTTCTTTTTAAGATGCTCTAACTGTAACTCTTGTTGGGTTCAGTTGTGATCTGGGAGTGAGCCACTATATGATATAATCAATGGTAGGGGAACCTGCATGCCAGCCCTCACCCGGAAAACAATAAATGCAGGGAGAGGAAGAATGCTCAAGGAAAATGCCAAATAGAGGGTGGAGCGGAGAGGCTGCTGAAGATGGGAAAATACCGGGAGCGCTGTGAAGGCACTGAGGAGCCTGACAGAACTGAAATTGCCACTTCTGTCAGCCAGATCCAGTAGGAAATCGGTGCTGAGTCAAGCAATCCTGAACACAAGCAGAGCCTGCCGGCACTGGTGAGGGGGGCCCCCTGTTGGCAGCCTGGAACCAACTGCCCTCCCACGCTTAGCCCATCAGGGTGCACTGACCACAGCCCCCAAGTATCCCTGTAGCATTTCACTTCCTGTAGCTTCAGTGGATTTTGGTGTCCTTCATCTTCTTTTTCTTTTAAAAATATATGTATTTTAAAAATTTTTACATATTTGAAAAGAAAAAGAGAAAGAGAGAGAGATCTTACATTTGCTGGTCTCTTCTCAAATCCCCACAACCTCAGGCAGGGCTAGGTGAAAGCTGGCAACCCAGATACCATCATGATCTCCAGGTGGGTATCAGGGACCTAATTACTTGAACTGTTCAATCTCCTCTTCCCAGGGAGTGCATCAGTAGGAAGCCCTATCAGAAGTGGAGACAGGACTTACGCACCATTGATATGGGTGTCTCAGAGAGCATCTTAACCATTGCACCAGATGCTTACCCCTAACCTTTCTCTGTAATTCAGCAAGCAGATACCATCTGCATGTAAGATACTGTATCAATAAATATGTCCGCACTAGTGACTATTACTCAATAAACATGAAAAGAAAGCAGAATGTTGCTCTGGTCTACGAGATCTCATTTGATCCAATGAGCCAATCACCTGTGGTACAGAGCGATGCCTTATAGGAACTGATGTCTGTGGGATCAGAAATGCAAGAGAATCCACAGCAATGGGGTTTTATCAGGGAATCACACATTAGCTGTTCTGCACAGATCAATATAACTGATATGAAAGTCTAATTGGATTGGGTGTAATTTGAAAGTTTCTATCAGGTAGAGTCATGAAATGGTCATTTGCATGGAGATTGGCTAAAATAGATCTACACTTGTTGACGCTCTTGTGCCCTCCGATTGAAGGCTGTGTTCATGGGAATTATCTGAGGAGCCGTGATGAAAATGGAGTCTCTAGATGTTCCCCTAGCTGGCATACAGTGTAAGCCAGTTGCTGGAATTTCCAGAAGGGAAAGGAAATAATGAAGGGCCCACCTTATGTATCTCATCTCTTTCATCAGCCAAACAGCTGGGTAGAGCATGGAGCTACCTTGCCATGTTGGTCTCTGAGTCATGGAGTCTCTTGAAGACCCCTGATTTAGGCAACACAACCCCCTTCACACACACACACAAAACATACAGACATATACACACATATATACACACACACCCAACACAACACACACACACACACACAGGATCAGAGGAGACTGACTTGACAGAGTCAAGGACTGTTCTGTCTTCCACATTTATAGACAATTCCAACAATATCACAAAACAGGGATTTAAAGATAGGAGTCACCTACTAAATGCCAACATCCAACCACTCTCATCTTGAGCTTTTCCTATACACGCCGTGCACTCCAGGGTATTCCCTATCATAATTTTCCACTAAACTAATCTGCAGACATTCCTGGGATTCAGCCCAAAGGTGTTTCCCTCACGCCCACCAGGCTTAAAACTCTGACAGCATTGACTTATCTCTTAGTGTTCTCATCACTACCAGCTGCATTCAACATCCTTGCGTCTGTTGCCCTGGCCTTCCCTTTGAATACTCTGAGGTAAACAGACCAATGAGGTGTGACTGCAAAATAATGAGGACACATCTTACAAACTTTCTTAGGCGGCTGCTAACAGCAGTGCCACTCTGTTTTGAACAACAATGTCATTTCACTGACACATCAGGAGGAGGAAATGCACTTGCTTGATCTGTAGTCTGGGTGTCCACATGTCAATTCCACCAATCTCAACCCGTGGCTTCCTGGAGCTTGAGGTATGTAGATTCACTCTGGAAATGAATACCTTTCATAGGGGAGACTTTGAAAGTTAGAGCTCAGCTTCTCTCTATGGAAGTTTGTTGTGTCATTCAGCTCATGTTAGCTCATTTTAGAGATATGACAAGTTAATCAGCCTTTGAGAGTGCCCACAATTGGAGCAGATCCACTTCACACTCAGAACTGTTGGCTCCATAGTTGATTTTTAAAACAAGAAAAACAAACAAAGAAACCTGTTTCTTTGTGGGTCAGACCAATGCACCAGCCGGCATGCAAGACCTGAGCTGGGCTAGTTAGCACGCACCACAGCCAACTACCACTCTTTGGTGCACACTAAAGCTAGGGCTGGGGTCCTGCCTGGCAGGGCTAGATCACAGTAACCTCCAGTGAGTGTCAGAACAAAGGATGGGTCACATTAGGCTGGGTCATGACAGTAACCAGTGCACGAGAAAACCAGGTCCGGGGCAGCTTCTGTAGGGGATATGTGGGTTTACCCATTTGGAACTGCAGTTTCTGTTAGTTAACTCAAGAGCTGTGTGTGGTACGGGTTGAGCTAGGCATGACCATGGAACCCTCCAACACTCATGTATGCTGAGGTTGGGAACAGGCTGGGCAGGTCCAAGCTGTGACACCCACAGGCACACCCCAAAATAGGGTGAGGGGCAGACCTGGCCACAATATCCACCAGCTCATACAAAGGCTGAGATGGAGGAGGTAGACTATACTGGTTAAGGGTCTAGCACCTGCCAGCACATGTGTGAACTGGGTCTAAGAGTGGGTCTGGTGGGGGAACTTGGAAAACTTCCCTTGTGGGCCAGAGCTCCCACTGGTGAGCATGCGGCTTAGGCCTGGGTGCTGCTCAGGGAGGGCAAGGTAGCTCCAATTGTCAGCAAGTGTGTGAATTTGTTCTGGAGGGAGGCAGACATGGCAGGACCAGGCCAACCTTAGCCCACTGGCATGTGCAGGAGTTAGGCTGGAGTGCAAATCATAACAGGCTAGGCTATCACACCTACTGGTTTGCATGAGTCAAGGGAGGAAGTCAACTGGACAGGGCTAGCCTGTAGCACCCAACAGTAGAAGTTGGGATTTGGGGCAGGCCAGGACAGGCCAGGCTGCAGCATTTGATAGCAAAGGCCAAGACAGGGGATGGGTTATGCCAATCTGGGTCAGAGCAACCACTGGCATGAACAAGATCTATAGCTGGGATCAGGCCTGGTTGGGGAGCTAAGGTGACACCCTGGCGGGGTTGTGGTTCCTGTTGGTGAGTGTGAGAGCTGGAATAGAAGTGTCAATCTGGACTGCACATGGCTGCAGTGTTTCTTGGCATGGGTGTGGACTGGATCTGGGATGTGCCATATTGGACTGGATTTCAGCAGTCATGATAGCCAGGCTGCGTGTAGGATGGGATGGGCTAGGTCTCTACCCCCACTGAACCATGTGAGAGCTGTGTCTGGGCATATACTGGGAGTAGTCAGGCTGTAGTGCCCAACAGTAAGAACCAGAATGGGTGTGGGCTGGTGGGCAA